AAGCAACAAAAAAAGGTCAAGATCATTTTTAAGGCAGCTCTGGGTTCACTTTCTCTCAGGCTAGCTAAAACAGGAAAAACTCGTTGTAATAGAAATACTCAAACATTGACCTGATAATAAGTTTTTAAAAGCATTTTCAACATATTTTACTAGATAGTACTAATCAGCTGTAGTAAACAGTGGGGGAAAAGGTCACCATGCTATCTGCTAAACATAGCTTAAAAGCACTGGCAGCTAATTTATCTTGTTTATGGCCCCGTTCATGTAGCCGATATTCTTTAAACATGCAGAATACGAACTTTTTTTTAGTTCAAAACTGAATTACTGCACTGCGCCTCCACTCTGTTGGTCTGAAACTGATAAGAATTGTGCTGCATGTGAACATGTTCTTGCTTTTCAGGCTAATTTTATTACCAAAAATCAAATTATCTTATTTTCAGTGCTTCCCAAGGTTGTTAATTAACTTGCGTGATGTTTTTGTTGGCTTCTGAAGACATTTTTTAAAATAAGTTGTGTTCAAAGTTAAACTATAAAGACGCTTTTGGTTCACATTTCATTTTATGAGTTTACGTTTTATTTTTATTGGCTTAAAATTAAAATGGGCCTACATCATCAGTCGTGTTTGACATAGAAGTGGGAAATGGTGATGGAAATTTGTTGTAAATGAAGGATTGCGCACAATGACTGGTAAATTATTGCAGTTTATAGAGTTGTGAAGTAATCTTGACAGTTCTGATTAAAAGGTGTGCTTATTTTTTGATGTAACAACATAAAACTGTCACTTCCTGCCTCTGTGACACAAGCACAGTTTGTCTTTTTTGACAGGGCAGGTATGAACACATTGTCTTTGTGGGCTTTGTGAGCTCATATTGTTTATTTTTAACACCCAGATGGTTGTCTGACAGCAGAACAGAGAGAATAATTAAGCATGTTTTTAGAGCCGTTTCTCCCGAGTGTTCATGTGGATTTGTTGAAAACAGAAACAGCTTCTCAGGCAAGAGATAAAACGGAAAACGGGATCTTAACAAAGCACGTAATCGCTTCCTTCCACTTCCACATCAAAGTGTCACTTAAAATTCAGAGAATCCAAAAAGTAAGAAAAACTAAAGAAAATGCAGAGTTTTGACTGACTGCTGGAATAAATGCTAAATAGAAGCTTTAATTAGCAAGATGCTAGCTATTAGCAAGAAGAACAAAACAATAACTGAAAGCTAAAAGGAGCAAAACATGCTAAAAGCTACGTTAAGTCAAAATTTTGCTTAAAGCTAAAAGTTGCAAAACTCTGGCACAAAAGCTAAAAGTCTAAAAAAAAATCTAAATGAAGCAGCGTTCAGCTAAAAGCAGAAAAAATAGTGAAATGGTACCTAGAAGTTACAAGTAGTAAAAGGTTAGCTAGAAGAAGAAAAAAGCTAAAAGAAGCAAAGGCTAGCTAAAAGCAGAAAAATAGTGAAAAGGTACCTAGAAGGTAAAAGTAGCAAAACTATTATAAAAAGCTAAATGATGCAAAAGCCTGGCTAAAAGAGAAAAAAAGTAAAATAGTACCTAGAACTACAAGTAGCAAAAGATTGGCAAAAAGTAGCTAAATTCAAGCTACACGTAGAAAAACATTCACTAAAACAAGCAAAACACTGGCTAACAAATACTACTGATAAAAGACTAGCTAACTTAACAAAATACCAACAAAAATCCAAACTAAGCAAAAAGGTATTTAAAAAACAGCTAAATGTTAGCTAAAAGATGAACTTGTCAAAAAGCTAGCTAAAAGTTGCAAAAGGCTAACTACAAGCTAAAAGTAAAAAAAAAAAAACACTACTAGCACCAGCAAAAATGTTATCTTAAAACTATTAACAGCAAAGGACCAGCTAAAAGTAGTAAAAGGCTTGCTACAAGCTAAAGTAGCAACAGGCTAACTAAAAGTTAAAAGTAGCAGAAAAGTAAAAAAATAGACCAGCTATTTTGAAGCTGGTTTTTTTTAAATGTTTTTAGAGGAAGCCAGCAGATCTCAATGCATATTGGCAAATAAAGTGAAGTATTATTGAAAAGTAAATAAATTAAAAAAGCTAAAAGTCACCGCACCACTCTCCTGTTTGAGCTGAATGTTTTGACATATGAATGGCTAAAAATATCCAAAGTATGCAGAAGTTGTTAGACTACGAAGATGGTGCTGAAAATAAAACAAATGGATATGCATTCACAGGCCTCACAGTTCCTGTCAGTAAAAATAAATATTTTAGATTTTGATAACGTCACAAGACATCTAAATACTTTCTGTTCTTCCACTGGTTTCGTAGTCTTTTAGTCATGGTGCGTTAGATTTATCATCGGCCTCAGGAGCTTTGTTTATAACTCGTATTCACCTTTATCAGCAATAAATGGCCTTGGTGCTGTGAGGGAGATGACACAACCGGAGCCATTTGTTGAATTTTGCCCTTTTGACGGTCACACTTCACGTGTTTTCAGCTCTGAAAACAACTCCGTAAGCGGTACAGTCACAGTGAGCCACAAGTTGAACACATCATCGGTTTTGTTTTCATTTCTACGCAAAGTTTCACTCAAAGGTGAAGGTTATGATTGATGTAAGAAGCCTTATATAATCATGGAATTGTTGAATTACAGTTTTGAAATGGATGGTAGGTGTCTTATTGCCAAACAAACTCAACATATTTAAAACAGAACTGGATGACACACCGATATCTCTGCAGTTCATTTCCAAACTAATTAACTTTACATACCTGAGATTTGGCATTGACAGTGTCGTTCTTTGTTCTGCAGATCTGCCGAGATAGTTGTGCGCCTCTTTTCTTCCCCCCCTCCATGGACATGCCTCAGTTTTCACTTCTAAATATAAACACTGCAGAAGGAAAATGAGCTCAGAGAGTTGCTTTTTGTAAAGAAAAAAGGTTGAAAGTATAAAGGCTTTGAATCGCTCTTGATCTCAACAAATATTTCAAGTATACATTTACATGTATGCAACAGAAGTATTTTTTTAAATATTTATATTAATAAGTGGTGTTTTTAAAAAGAATTTGGGTCAAATGGAAAATTAGTAGTTATGTTCAATAGTATTTTCAGATACTTTCTACTAAATACGTTGGTTTGAAAAATAAAATTATATATATATGTAGCTTCAGGTTTTTATGTTTCTTTGTCTTTATTTTTTTACACTTTAATGAACTCTCACCCCACCCCTCGCTCACTCCACCCTCAAAATGTTGCAAATAAACAATTCCGATTGAATCGAGATGTAAATAAAAGTAAATAACATTAATAATACACTGCCTGGCCAAAAATAAAGTCTCCACCAAAAACAAAAGGTCACACTAATATTCCGTTGGACCTCCTTTACCTTTGATTACAACATGCATTCACTGTGTCATTGTTTCGATAAGTTTCTGCCATGTCACAAGATCATTTCCATCCATTGTTGCATTAATTTTTTACCAAGATCTTGCATTGATGACTAGGCACTAGGTATGATGTCATCACTTCACCTGCCTCTCTTCTTACCCTGATGCACCCATCACTCTGGAACAGGGTAAATATGGACTCATCAGACCACATGACCTTCTTCCATTGCTCCAGAGTCCAATTTTTATGCTCCGTAGCAAATTGAAGCTTTTTTTTTCCCCAGTTAGCCTCACTGATTACTGGTTTTCTTAAGGCTACACAGCTGTTCAGTCCCAATTCCTTGAGTTCCCTTTGCATTGTGCATTTGGAAATGTTCTTACTTTCACTATTAAACATGGCCCTGGGTACTACTGTTGTTTTTCTTCCATTTGATTTCACCAAATGTTTAAGTGATCGCCGATCACGATCATTCAGGATTTTTTTTCCGGCCACATTTCTCCCTTGAAGACGATGGGTCTCCACTATCCTTCCAGTTTTTAATAATGCATTGGACAGCTCTTAACCCAATTTGAGTATTTTCTGCAATCTCCTTAGATGTTTTCTCTGCTTGATGCCAATGATTTGACCCTTCTCAAACAGACCAACATCTTTTCCACGACCACGCGATGTGTCTTTCAATATGGTTCTTTAAAAAATGAGAAACAACTCATTGCACCAGTTGGGGTTAAATAGCTTGTTGCAGCTGAAAGATAATCGCCCATGCAGTAATTATCCAATAGGATGCTCGTACCTATTTGCTTAGCTAAATCCAGGTGGTGGCTTTTTTTTTTTTTGGCCAGGTATTGTATTTTATGGGCTGTTTTTGATTTCTCATTTAACAAGAACTGGAGGTCATTCCTATAACCAACATTTAATGACAATACATATTTACTGCATGCCTGCTAAGATCAGTGGGACTCATTTGTAGGATGGTGCAATATATATAAAAGTAATTATTAAATACCAGAGTGTGTAATATCGATACTGCATTTCAAAGTATTTCAATAAACTGCAGATCCATAATAGACAGCAATAATATGTTTGACAATCATACAATCTGATGGATTCCCACAACAACAGAAGCGCTAAAGCTAAATGCTAAAGCAACAATAATCAGGAGTGTCTGCAAAAATTACTTGAAAACAATATTCTAGATTAATTTCACATTTGATCAAGCTATACTGCTTGTAAAGTTAGTCAAGTTTTAAAAGTATGCTCGACAAGTTCAGCATGTGTTCAGACCTAAGATTTCATAGCAAACTTACATTATGTCTTTGATTTTAAGGAGAAATTATCTGAATCTTCCCCATGAAGGTATTCCTTGCAAGGAATATATATGTATAACAAGGAATATATATATATGTATAACAGCATGTTAGTTATCTTTTCTTTGTGGATCATCATTTTGACGTCATTGGTTTCACTTGTTCTCCACAAGGGAGAGAAAAATACAAAAGTAGGAGCACTGTGAGCTAAAATATCCATCTGTTGCTCATTCAGCAGCAGGAACAGGTGGCTTTGAACTGGGTTATAAAGACTATAATTAATGATTGTTGCCTTCACGACCTCCTTGACTAATTCCTTTCTTTCTGTTTTCTTGTCTCTTCCTCCAGGTTTAGGGACGACAAGGGCTACATTCTTTACCCTCAGATCGGGGACCGGCTGGACCTCATCTGTCCCCCGCTGGACACCATCAGGTCCACGCCTGAGTATGAGTACTACAAACTTTACCTGGTGTCATCGCGGGAGCAGGCGGACCGCTGCGAGGTGATGGGAGCGCCCAACATTGTGCTGACGTGCGACGAGCCCACGCGAGAGCGCCGCTTCACCATCAAGTTCCAGGAGTTCTCCCCGAACCTCTGGGGACACGAGTTCAAGAGCATGCATGACTACTACATCATTGGTGAGTCCAGGAACATGGGGGTGGGGACCTCAGGAAAAGTTGCATGTGCTTGAGTGTTCATGGGCGTGGCGCTGAGCCTTATTGCAAAGTGTAGGGGGTGATTTGGGGGGTTGTTATGATTGCATGGTTGATTTCTGATTGTGCCTAAGTGTGTTTGTTTATTCCAGTGATGAAGACGCTGATTGGGTGGGTGCGTTTATGGTAATTAGTTTTGAGATCTGTGTTTAATCCAGATGGTTATACAGCTATAGGACACACACACGCCAAAAAATTGTACCAGATGACCATTTGGATTTCAGGAGATTTAAGTGTCTTTTTTTCCCCAAAAACAAAACTCTTGCATTTGATTTAAGCTTAGTTCTTGTGTGGGATTTTGAGAATAACAACTTGTGCACTTCTCTGCTGCCTTAAACGTCATGTTTGTTGTAGCCACTGTGGTCGTTGTCCTGCTCGGCCTCGGGTCTGTTTATCGTCACTGCCATCTTTGCAGCGACCGCAAATCGACGGGGGCACCATTTGTTTTGGTTTACTCTAGAGGTTTGTTTGGAGTTAGGCTGTGTGAAGACCCAGTGAGGTCATCCAAATGAGCCGGACCGAGCGTTCATATCGGACAGAGCAATCTGCAACTTAAGGTTGTGTCAGCCAAAACCTGGGGGTTATTTCTTTTGGTTGTTATTTTTTTAACGCGGGCTGAGAGCCAACAGTATTTAGTGCTCACAAATAAAGCATTGCACTCAGCACATGCATGTGAGCACTCCCACCGCCCACAAGTTTCCAATACAAACACAGGCAGAGTAAAAGAAACACCTCAGGATTGGGCGACTGAGCGGGAGAAACAAAGAGAGAGACCCCGTTTGATTCCCACAGCTCTCTGCCCACGCACCTGCAAGCTCTATTCGCTCAGGTGTGCAAATGTTCTTTTCGTTTCTTTTTGTCTGCTTTTGAGGGGGGATACCCTTAGAAAACGATAGATGGAAAAGAGCTGGAAGAGGAGGACGCTGGGACAGACGTGGAGGAAATAAACAAAGAGAATATCAGATCTTTCAAAGGCTTCAAGACCTCCTTGCCTCTTTGTGTTCGGTATTTGTTTGCCAGTTCCTGGTGCACTCGGTCTTCACTATCAGTGCTCAAAGCTGGCGTGTTTGTGAAGAGAGGTGATGCACTATACGTGTTTCTCCCACACCTCTACATCAGTATCGGCACTAAAGCAATGTTTCAATAAAATTTAATTCAGATGTGGGGTGTGGAAAATGTAAATTGGTTTAATTCAGTCGCAGTTACAGTTTGTGATCCAAGCCACCATCTACTGTCTTTTTATACAGATGGGTATATTAAAAGAGCATTCAAGAAACCAAATGAGAAAATTAATGCAGGCTGGTTCCTTCAGTGACTCACAGATCTTAAACAGTAGAATCAAATATACCTGCAAGAAGCTGACACTTACAGGGAACATAAAGCATTGTCGCAGACAGCTAAATTTAACTGCTGATTTAAAATCCCTCAGCGCGATGTTTCTTTTTTTAAAGCCCCCATATATATTCACAACTCTACAAGATTTCACAGCTCTACTCGTTTGCTTTTGCAGCCATCTTTCACATGCTATGTCTCAAAGCTGTTTTAGTACAAATTCTTACCAGGTAAACTGATTTATGTCATTATTAATGTTGCCCAAGTTTTGGGGATAAAATGAGAGAGTGAGCAGCTATGAGAGTTGCATTGAGTGGTGACCAAGATATAGTTGCCACAGATGTATCTTTTTGTCTTCTTCAGTATGAACCATTAGGACAGAAGACCTGTAAGACCTTTTCAGAGAACATTTTGTTCATGTTCCCTTTTGCTTGTGCCACAAGGGCCACCTGGTCAATGGGAGCATCCAGAACATTCATGGACTCACCTAAATGACACCTGCCTGATGTATAATGACCTCTTTAGGAAAAGAATACAACACATATTTATGTTTAATGGTAAATGGAGAGATGGTTTTAATGACAATATAGGCACCTTAAAAAATAAGCCCTATACTTTTGATTGGTAGATTTAAACCTACACGTAGTCTTCACATAGATCTGTATGTCTTTAAGTTTGAACTTCTACCAACTAAAAATTGGCAAGATGTCCAACTCAAGTCTGCAAACCATGTAAAAATACCAAACCCAACCATTAAACAGAAGTCAAAAAGGTTAATTTAAGGTCTAAGGCATATGTGTCAATCATAAGGCCCGGGGGGCCAAATGTGGCCCTTGTTGACATCTGGCCCCAAAGATGTTATTTTAAATGTAAAATGCATTTATCTTTTTTATTTTTTTTTCAATAATCTTTGATTATGATGTCAAAACTGCAACAGAGAATGTCAATTGAGACCAATCAAACTTTTGTTGAGGAACCTGCAGCCAAGAAAAGATGTCGGGTATCTAACTTAGAGATAGGGTGAGAAGTTCAGTCATCCGGGAGACTCAGAGTAGAACCGCTGCTCCTCCACATCGAGAGGAGCCAGTTGAGGTGGTTTGGGCATCTGGTAAGGATGTCCCCTGGACGCCTCCCTAGGGAGGTGCTTTGGGCATGTCCATTTGGGAGGAGACCCCGGGGAAGACCCAGGACACGCTGGAGAGACTGTATCTCTCGGTTGGCTTGGGAACGCCTTGGGGTCCCTCCAGAAGAGTTGGAAGAGGTGGCTGTAGAAATAGATATCTAGACCTTCCTGCTCAAGCTGCTGCCCCCGCAACCCGACTTCAGAACAAGCGGAAGATAATGGATGGATGGATGGGATTTGAACCTGTTTCCGTCTACTTTAGTGTCACCATATGTAGACAGTTTATAGTTTCATTGTGGTAAAACAACATACAGGAACATAACAATGGCTTTGTTCAGTTGAGTGAAGAAAATTGGGACACTGGTGATAAATTTGAAGACATTTATATAAAACATGAGTCAGGATGTGGTTTTATCTTGTTCTCACAGTAACATGAAGTATACAGGCTGTGCACTGTAGGGATGTAAAGATTAATCATTTTGTACCAACATATAGATGTACACGATATGATTGAATTGGTAGAGAACATTTTTGGGATTAAACAATGCATTTGTTTATTACTGATAAGTTTGTATCCATTTAATTACTGCATTTCAAGTAAAATCTGCAACCAGGGTTGTTTTTGTAGACATTTACTTTAAAAAAAAGGCATTTCAGATGTCTTTTTAACATCTAAATCTAAGTTTAGACATCTTCTAAACTTTTACTTTAAGACCAAACTGAGCCAAGAGGGATTTTTTGTATTTTTTAGATGCTGAGACCTCTTTTAGACCAAAACAAGCTGAATGGGCTCAAGGCCATCTCAAGTTTTGCGGCATACATCTTTGTTTTCTTTCGATCTTCCACATTCTTCAAGACGTTTAAAATGCCATCAGTTCAAATATTATCTTAAACCCATCTGACAACTTACTGTGCACAAACTGGAACATAAACCCCGTTAAATAAACAGATTCATCTGACCTTTTGGGAGAAAGAGAGCGAGAGAGAGAAAAGAAATGATAATGTTTTCAGCATTCTGTGTTTTTGTTTGCTGACTCTCGACTGACAATCAGGAGTCTCGAGACAGAAACGCCTTTATCTGCACCGCCGCAGACCAGACTGATCGATTGACAGCTCCGCTCCGATCAATTCACGGCTGCAGCAGAAGGTCGCACATGCTCAGTCTCGTTCATACACAAACAAATTTGACGAGCGTTGCCGAGAGGAGAGCGGATAAGGAGCTGATATATCGCCCAGTGTTTTAGATTATGATAATCTTGTATAAAACGACGGTAATCCATGTGATATTGGATTAGTTTGTGTGCTCTTTTAGTGTTTGGAGTATGTGTTGTGAATGACTCTCTGTTACTACCACTGCAAATTTAAGCTCAATATCTAATATTTACCGAGGTATCCATTCTTTCAGTACACTAAAACCAATTAGCTGTTGCAGCCATCTTGAATTGGGTTGACACCAAAGGTTAATCAGTTAGCACTCCAAGTATAAGTTGGGGATCACCCTCAGCTACTGCCACACAAAGATATAGGCTAATATATGTTATATTGTCCGAGTTAGCATTTCACTTGTTTGCTAAGATTGTTTTGCTGTGGTGGCCATCTTGATCTGAGTTGACTCCTAACATGCGTCAATTGTAGATGTTCATGCAATGATTAATTTCTGAAAGTTTTGTTAGGATCCATCCAGTGCTTTATCAGATATTTTGCTAACAGACAAATAAAGTTGACTACATTAGTTAAAAGTAAAGCTTTAAAAACAAATCAATCCCAATCAGTAAGTGCTCTGAATATAAGTTTGGGATCAGTCTCAGCTACTACCACACAAAGTTATAGCTCAATATCTGCAGTACCGACTGAGTTATAGCCATTTATGAGTTTCCTAGGATTACTTTGCAGTGGCGGCCATCTTGAATAAAATTAACTCCAAATGTCAATCAGCTATAGGTGTCAATGTAGTGATTACTTCCTGAACCGTTTTTTGAATGTCCAGAAAACCAGACTTAACTTTTTTAGATTTTTCTACCTGGATTATTGAGCATGCATCGGGATACTTCCTGAACGTTTCATTAAAATATGTTTGGTAAGTCATGAAATATTTTGCTAACAGACAGATGAACAAACACATCTTGTTTTTTTGCAGCTGTCAGATCATTATTTAATTTATCAGCCGCATGCCTTCAGTGTTTTTGCTAACAGTCCGTGTCAGTGGAAATTTCACAGAACATGCTCCGGACTCCGGTCGGTTCACGAGTTCGGTGCACGTGTGCACGCTCGCCAAGGTGCAGCGGCCTCAGGGTCATCATGTGTTAATTAAGAAGTATAACGTGCCTTAATTTCATTTACACAGTGCGGAACAAAAATGTTGGAGTGTCTTGTCAGGCCGGGCGGCGGGAGGGAACCGGTCAGGGGAAGGTTAATCTCAAAGTCAAACCCACTCCGGAGAATCTGTGAATCGCTTAAAGCCCACGGGGTG